TTTCGTTATGCTGAAGCCGACCAAAGCGATTAGATTCGATACAATAGCGGTCACGAGTGATCGGAATACTCCAATAATTCAAAGAGATCTTCATTGAAATAAAAGTCATTTATTGATGTTTCACGCTGGTACAATGGTACAGATGTGTTCTCGCGTAAACTCTTGTACGTGACACGGTGGTAAAAACGAAAGACCCGGAACGTGACCACCGGCTTTTTGAGAAGCGACTTCTTGCAGCACTGTGGATTCACTACCAACTAACACAGAACCGTATCCATACAAAGATCACTCCACTACATAATAATTATACATGTGACTATCATAATACTTTATATTATTTATTTGTCATAACAATTAATACAATAAAGTTATTATGTTAGTTAATGAACGTTCAGTGAAATATTATAAATTGCTATTAATTTGAACATATTTAATTAAATTATTAAATTAAGTTTTGTAATATGTTACATCACTAATGTACTTTAAAGTTCTTCTACGAGTTTTTATAAGGAAAGTGCTGGATCATTAGATATATTTTCCAATAAATGGTCAATCTTATCAACTCAATGTTACATGAAGAAAACTCATTTGCCAGTGTGGTACGAAGATATCAAATTTCAAAACCTTGGATTCGTCTTCGCATTCTGTTTGAATGATTCTTCGTTTTTAGACTGGACAGTGTTGATAACAATGTTAAAAAAAAATAGTTTGTAATATAACATCTTAAGTAATCGGAGAAACGTTTGAATGGATGAAATAATGCTTCGTTCCCAAAATGAAACAAGTGTTAGTTTACTATGAACTGAATAGTTTATTAACATTGCACATTGCATTAATAAAATATGCTTTAAACAGTCTCGAACTTAACTTCTAAATAACGTCCTAATTTCAAAAAGATGGACACCAGACATAACTTATGTCAGAACTTATCGCGGGACGAACTATAACTCTATTTTTGCCCGCAGTAGATAATTATCTACTGCGGGCAAAAATGCGGCAGAAAATCGCAACAGTGGCAGAATTTATAAATAAATAATCATGAATGTGTTGCTTGTGTGAGTCCATTTCAAATAGGTAAAGAAATAATAAATAAGACTTACAATCAATTTAATTTAACTATCAGACGACCGGTTTCGCTTTCTACAATATGCAAAGCATCCTCAGGTCTCGATACAAAGTTAAACAAATGATGCCGGTACTCTATTAATTGATGGATGGTAGAACATGGTTTAAACTACTATATATTGTTGAATGGAGAACTCAATTCTATTATTGCAGTTGTTTGACAGTAAACGGGAAGTTCTTGAGGAGATAGATTTGATCCAATGAAGAAGAGGTATGTGTGTGATTGTTTGTTAAATGAAAGTGATGTAATATACCATTGTGTTATTAAAAGCTATTTATTCTTATTCGAGAGATATATTTTTGAATTGTGTGTTATTTATTGAGTAATTGTTTTATGAAGTTGACAGTTTTATGACAATGAATAAGTTTAGATGTAAAAATTGTGTGGGTGTGCAATTATTTTCCAACTTGTAGTTATCAAATTACTTTGATAAAGTTCTATTGGCAATTAGTAAATTATTGGAAAGTCAAGTAAATAAAATATTAAAATACAAACAATTAAGGACAATTTAAACACACTAAAACAGAAAACACTTAGAAGGGACGAAAAAAACATTGAATTTAAAAAGGGGGGAAGGGCTTTAATGCAGTACATCGCGGTCTTGGGCACAATAAGTTTTTTTTTCTCAAAAAAAACTCATGGTGCCCAAGACTGCGATGTAGTGCATTAAAGCCCTTTTCCCCTTTTTAAATTCAATGTTTGTTTCGTCCCTTCTAAGTGTTTTCTGTTTTAGTGTATTTAAATTGTCCTTAATTGTTTGTATATATATATATATATATATATATATATATATATATATATTATATATATATATATATATATATATATTACAGGATCCAATTTGTAAATATAATACATCTTGGAGACGGCTATCGCCGTATTCCCGTCCTCCTCAGCCAATCCTCTCGGTCCAAGGCATGCTCCTCCTCCCAACCTCTCGATTCCATTGCTCTTCTAATATCTTCATTCCATGAGCGTCGAGGTCTACCTCTTTTTCTTCTACCAGGGGGCTTCCATCTGTGAAGTTTTAATTGTTTGTATTTTAATATTTTATTCACTTGACTTTCCAATAATTTACTAATTGCCAATAGAACTTTATCAAAGTAATTTGATAACTACAAGTTGGAAAATAATTGCACACCCACACAATTTTTACATCTAAACTTATTCATTGTCATAAAACTGTCACCTTCATAAAACAATTACTTAATAAATAACACACAATTCAAAAATATATCTCTCGAATAAGAATAAATAGCTTTTAATAACACAATGGTATATTACATCACTTTCATTTAACAAACAATCACACACATATCTCTTCTTCATTGGATCAAATCTATCTCCTCAAGAACTTCCCGTTTACTGTCAAACAACTGCAATAATAGAATTGAGTTCTCCATTTAACAATATATAGTATTTTCAACCATGTTCTACCATCCATCAATTAATAGAGTACCGGCATCATTTGTTTAACTTTGTATCGAGACCTGAGGATGCTTTGCATACTGTAGAAAGCGAAACCGGTCGTCTGATAGTTAAATTATATTGATTTTAAGTCTTATTTATTATTTCTTTACCTATTTATAAATAACTGGCTTAAAAATTAAAAAATGGTAAAGTATATAAGAGCCCAACAAAGCAACAAGAATATCAGAATGCTTTCCAAACAGGTAGTAGAAATGTAGACAGTTAAAACAAGTATAACGGAGTTTGCATAGGAAATTTTCAGAGAAGCTAAGAGAGAACGAAATGTGGGGTTATTAAACAGGAAAATGATCTGATAATGGGAAAAAAGTACAAGCGACTGGAACATGCAGAAGAAAGGAAAAAGAGGTTTTCAAAAAAAACAAGAAGTCCTTGAGCATAATAACAGATACAAAAGCAGAAAATTCTACAAAAAATTTAAAGAAAGCACACAGTGATTTAGACCAAGACAAGAGAAAAAAAAATTAAAAAGATGGAGAACATATTTGTGGAAAACCTAAACGCAGAAAATGAGAATGAACAAACGGGATTAAATGATATTTACGCTGCAGAGCAACATATTGATAAAACGAGTTTTCAATATAGAAGTGGTACGTCTAGTAAGAAATTAAAACAATAGAGTGCCAAGGACAGATGGAATTTCGGTAGAATTAGTAAAAAACGAAGGTCTGCACTGTACAGAACGATTCCTTATCTAACAGCATGAATACAGACAACGGATCAAATGCAGGAAGAATGGACAGTTGATCTTCTACTACCAATATATAAGAAGCGAGATAAGACGATATGCCAGAATCATAGACCAATTACATTGTTTAATACTTTCTGGTATTATCTATAATAGATATAACTATTAGAATATTCAGAGAATATTATTAGTGATTATCAAAATGGATACAAACCAAATAGAGCTACCACAGACTATATTCATACTAAGAATGATTCAAGAAAAAGCTTATAAATGCAACATTGAACTATACAGTCTAAAAGGAAATTACTGAAAGATATTCAAAACTTTATTATAACTAACAAATATATCAGCCTCATAAAAATGACGTTGCAGAGGTCAAAAGCTGGAGTAAGAGTACATAGAGAATTGACCCCCTATTAGACATCAACCTAACAGTGAAACAAGAAAACGCACTATCAACCATGCTGTTCGACCTAGTTCTTGATGCGGTCATCAGAAAAGCCAATGTTATCGGCCAAATAAATACACAATCGATACAAATCACTGCATATGCAGATGATTATCAGAAACAAGCAACGATCAATTGAAGTGTTCAGGGAAATTGATTCCAAAGCATGAAAACGTGGGTTTAAAATAAGTGAAACAAAAAATAAGTACATGGCAGTTAAAAGAAAATCTGACAATGAAAATAATATCGCAGTAGACAATTATACAATCGGAGATATACCCGAATACCGAATGTGGTTGTCTTAACATATTTGGATACATAAATCTATCAAAAGAATTCCTTAAGTAACGAAATGAATGCACGTATTGCCAGTGAAAATCATACATACTATGCTAGTAAAAGATTAACATCATAACATTAATTAGACCCGATTTAACGTATCGATGTGAGTTCAAGACCTTTTAGAGAAAGGCAATGAGAAAAGTTATGTACAATATTACATATTAAATATAACCACGAAGAGATTAGACACGGATACAATATCAGCCCTTGTATTGTTATTGTTGTAATGAAAAAAAAAATACTAAAAACAAAATTCCACTAGTAAGAGAGGATGTGGTGAGATGGGTAAGGTGCGATTCACTTATAACTGTTTATTCGACACTGTTCCACGCATTGACATTAGGGAACCAGAAAGGGTCAAAAAATGTGCAAAAACAAAAAATAATAGAAAGAGCTATCTAAGAACACCATTCAAGGGGAGATATGAAAGCTGACAAAATCAACAACTACTACTGTCGGAAGACAAAAATCTATTACCAATTACGAATTATTTTTTTTGCATAAATATTTATTTATTTTTTTTTTTTTTCGAGTAGTATTCACGGATATACCGTTGGTATTCGATATATCATGTATAAACGATTTTCATAAATTTCTATTATTAGTTTAAATTAAAAAAAATCTGGCGAAAACAGTTGCTGCCGTTTATAATGCCCATAATAGAGGGAAGTGTTGAAGAATGAACACTAGATCTGATAATGGCCTAAATAGGATTTTATTTAAATGTTTAAACTACAAACATTATGTGAATTATAAAATTAACCAAAGAAAATATAAACAAATTAGTATTACATATTAAACGTATTAATTACCAACATTAATTCTCAACTGAACAGATAATTTCTTTTTATGTTTTACACAAGTTTATTTTTTTAGTAAAGAAAAGTATTGTATAATTGCCTCACCTGTGTATACTCTGCGCAAATATCAATACTTGATATGAAGTTACACACATCATCAACGGACCAGTTTGAGATGTCTTCATGTAATTTGGGGCTTTCACTTTCTGACCTTTTGGGAATTCTCGTCACAGAACAGCCAGCACCTGTCGGACTACTTCTCGGGCTACCTCCTAGAGGAGTTTTGGTTCGTGGCCTTTTCGCAGGAGGTGCAGCGGCGGAGAGATCTAAAGGGGAGGAGGACTCTGGACGTTTGATGTTTTTAAGTAAACCCTAAAAAAAAAAATTCATATCAGATTACACAATTTCTCCGAATATAACACAATTTTTTTATCTTAATATCCGAAAAATAATACATAGCCTTGAGAATATTGCTCTGAAACCATTTTTTCTTGTGCTATTGTAAATTTTTTAGAACTCTCTTAAGAATAAGCCACAATTTCTAAAATAAACCTTGTACTTTGGTACTTTACATCGGTAGATGGCAAAATACAATTTTGTTAGTTATTGTTACAATTTTATAAATCAATCAATTCGGTTATCTAGATCAACAATTAACACTCGTTTTTTGTTTAATTTTTTTTTGTTATTTATAAAGAAAATAAATAATTTAATTAAGTTAAATTTATAAGTTCTTTACAGTTTATTACCCCAGAAAACCTTGAAAAATCGAAAAATTGCTTTGCGCTATTTTTTAACTGGAATATCTAAAAAAAAGTCAATAGAAAAGGCGTACCATCTCGTGAGTATCGAACTTTTTACTGCGTCGTGACTTTTTATTAACTTTTGAGCAAAAAAAGCGACTTTTTTCATTCATTTTACTATTGTAAAAAAAGTAGGCATCTATCTATATAAAAGGCTAGGGTGACAAACTCATACTGTTTGTCCCGTATAACTTCTTGTCCGGTTTGGATAACTCCTTGCGTCATTTAGAAAAGAAATCTGAACTTCCAACTGATATGAAGTAATTAACGTTTTCCAAGAGATATTGGTGCTATTGATCAAATAATAGCAGTATTGGATTCCAAAATGAAAAATATTCATAGTCCTAGGTTGTAAGATTCTTTTAATGACTATAAAATACAATAAAAAAAAGTAAGTATACAAAATATCCATAGTGTAGCACAAAATTCTCAAAACAATAAATCTTCTATAGAATATATGAAATATTGATATTAAATTTTGGCAATTTCGTGATATTTCTATAATAGGACATATTTTAGGTCTTATGTAGGTAGGTAGGTACCTAACTTATATTTTTTAAATAAACAATAAAAACATTTAAAACACATTTTATAATGGCAGTTAGATCCCTAATGTCAGTTAAAGAAGGGCCAGATTGGTCAAGTAGTGATTAAACAGTTTTATTTGTTTATTCTATTTGAGAGAAAATAGGTCACTTCTAAATAGCTATACAGGTGCTCTGTCAATACTTAAAATATTTTTTTGGTTTTATTCACTTTACAAATATCCTTGGCTATAGTTCTCCAGATCAATAATAAATTTATTTGTACTGACAAATGCTGCAAAACGCAAATATGTACTATAAATTTCTTCCAATCAGCAATTCTAGCTGAGAAGCTGATACCACGTTTCAAAACAACTCTTATTCACAAAATTACCATTACACCGTTTAAAAAAGAGTGCCGGCTCTAGTTCATTTCTCACGATTTGATTTTCTTCGCTCAAAGGTCAGCAACAGATAATCTCTCCTTCGGTTTTCAGAAATCCATCCTAAATCAAAATTCTCATTTCACGTGACTTTTCAAGTGACTTTGAATTTTTTCAATGTTGTGTTCGATACACAATCTGACAATGGACCTTAATAATGTTTTGGTATATCTTAAACTTCAGGCAAATTCAAGAAAAATCTAATGGTGTAAAATCTGGTGATCGTGATCATCATTTTTTGGGTCTACGTCGTCCAGTACATCGTCCAGGAAAAACTGGATGTTTAAATAGTTAAGGATTCTGCGTGCTTGAGACGAAGCATCGTCTTACTTAAAAAATTATGACTTGGTAAAACCCTGTGGACGATTTGTGATTATGGCGGTTATTGCCATACTATTATTTCATTATCTACCATATTAAGGTATTTTTCGCAATTTAAATTTTCGTCAAAGCATATTAAACTCACAAGATAATTATCCAATATACCTGCTTATACAGTTGTGAATTACTATATATTGTAATTAGATCAGTACCCAACATTCTGACGCTAAACGTGATCATTAAAATAAAGTGTAGCTTCGTCACTAAAGTAAACATGATCAAATAATCGGAATATTGTTCAAGAGTGCTTATCATAATTTAACAATACTCCGCTCGTCTGTCTGAATCATCTTTGGTCAGTTCGTGAACCATTTGCAATTTATATGGATGTCATTTTTTTTTAATACATATTCTCAAAACTGTTTTTTGACTGACATCGCAATTACGAGCTACACTTTTGATTGATACGCAAATAAATCTACAACGAATTGTGACAAAACATTTAAATATGTATCTTCTCCAGTGGATTTTCCACCAGACAGCTTTTTGTTTTGAATGCTGCCAGTAAAAAAAAAATATGGATCCAAAAAAAAAACCTTAATTAGCTGTAATAGCCTTTTCAAAAATAATAATTGCTTTACATTATTTGTCGACTAAATTCCTAACGTGAGCCATTTTTAAAACAAAATCTTAACAAAACTTTAATGCAGTTTACAAGAAATATTTAATAAAACGTTTTTAATAATCATTTTGTTTGACAGCTTTTTAATAAACAAACAATAGGCCAAGTAAATAAAGTAAAATACTGCAGATAAAAATGGTCCATTGTCTTTTTTAAAGGTGGTTGATTATCGTTAGTGGAGAAGAAACAAAAAATAGGTTAATTTTTACTATTTAATATATTAGTTTATTAAACAAGCACAAATTATTGGTGTAACATATCTTTGGAATAAGATTTTGATAAAGTTTCATATAGAGTGTCACGTAATCTGCTTTGCTATAAAAAAAATGGGACTGTCGTCTGATGAAAGTTCATCGAAATACCGAAAATTTGAGTCCTTAGATATTAGAAGTTTAAAAACCAACTTATCTGAGTGATTTTGTTTTATCTTTAAAATAAACGAGTTAATAGAGAAGGGTAAAACTTTATCCTCTCTTTGTATAAACATTTACAATTCTTCAAGAAATTAACGCACCACTTTGAAATATTAAAATATTTTATTATCGTTAATAAAAATTTCCATTGTAATGTTATATTTTGCAAGCCCCTTGTATATGCTATTCGTACACTCTATATTTATTGACTGTGTTTTATCGCTATAGTTTTTGTTTGCAGCAAAACAAAAAGAAGCAAAAAATGTACTAATTCTATAAATATACTAATTTCCAAGTATTCACGAATTTTATTCGGCTACTGTTTAATTGTTGATTATTTTTAATTGTGTTTATTATGGAGCGTCAATCACGTAATTTAACCCGAGATGGATGTGCCCAAGCAGTGATACTGTCGGAAGAAGGTTGGAGTTACCGAAGAATTGGTCGTCGGTTTAATGTGTCCCACACATCCGCCTCACGGGTGTTGGAAAGATTCCTCGAAACATTGGATCATACTCGCAGACCAAGACAAGGGCGGAACCGGGTAACTACCCCTATTCAAGATCGATTTTTAAGAATTTCTGCTCTTCGACGTTCTGTAACACATCGAAGTCTGCAAATTCAGCTTCGAGACGTTCATGCTATACAAATTAGTGCGGAAACCGTTCGCCAACGACTTAGGGAATACAACTTAACACCTAGGATTGCCGCCCGAGGTCCTCTATTAACTGCAGAGCATCGAAGGGAGAGACTACATTTTGCCAGAGAACACGTTCATTGGTTAGAGGCTGGCTGGGAACGAGTGCTATTTACTGATGAATCCCGATTTTGTTTGTACAATAACGACAGACGTGTTCGTGTGTTGCGACGACCCAACGAACGATATGCTAAATGTAACTTCCCACACACCACATTTTTTGGTGGAGGATCCGTTATGGTGTGGGGTGGTATTTCTTTGACCGCACGTACGGACCTAGTGGTCATACAAAATGGAACTGTTACAGCGGAAAGGTACATATTGGAGATCCTGGAGCAACATGTAGTACCATTCGCTCCTTATATCAGTGAAAATTTCTTACTAATGCAAGATAATGCCAGACCTCACGCTGCACAGATCGTCAGAAATTATCTAGAAGAGGTAGAAATTAACACTAAGGAATGGCCAGCACATAGTCCGGATTTAAACCCAATTGAAAATATCTGGGATATACTTGGTAGGCGATTAAGAGCGACACCGCTCCAACCAAATAACTTACAGGAAGTGGGAGAGAGGCTGATGGAGATTTGGAGACCAAAATGAAATACGGCAATTAATTTTAAGTATCAGCCAACGATGTGAATCTGTTATACATAGTAGAGGTGGAAACACTCGTTATTAAGACTTTTTTCATATTTCAGTTTACTTTTCCTATCATTATTTTTTTGGAATTTTCCGTTTTATTTTTTTTTTCTCCTGTACTTCAACATTTTCTGATAATTAGACAAATTGTTATAATTTCTAATAAAATGTAGAATAAATCTGGTGAAGTTTTAGTTTTTATTCTTTGCCTGTTTACAAATAAAATTGATTTATTGAAGTGGTGCATTAATTTCTTGGAGAAGAGTATATAAATTTACTTTATTTTATAAATTATAAATCAAAAGAATATTTTCAGTATACAAGAAAGCTAAAATATAAATAAGGTATACTATATAAAAAGACTCAAACATAACTAAATATCAAGATAAAAAGCAAGCAATCCGAATAAAAAATATAAATAAGTAAATTATTATAGTTATGATAAGTAGCGAATTCGATATATAGCGATATATAAGAACTGAAAGCATAAGAATATCACACTTTTAAATATAAATATGAGCTACGAATTTTTAAAAAATAATATGCTGTTATTTGTTTGCAATTGGCAACTCATTACAAATGTAAATCTTCACTAATCTGCAAACAACAGGTAAAATGGTCAAACTAAAATCCACCCTATTCACCTTAAAATAACAATACAAACCCATGGATTATGTACCCAGCAGGTATGAGGGTCAGTGTTGGAAAATTAAAATGGGACAGATTTCAATGTTTTTTTTACCGAGATTTTACCTCTTATTCGTATTTATATATATATATATATATATATATATATATATATATATATATATATATATAGGAGTTTCTTTGAACCGTATTATATTTA